TTGTTTTGTGGGATATTTTTGCCCAGAATCTTTGGTTTTCCACAAGCAAATACTTCAATTGACTGTGATTCTCTGTTACCAAACTATGAAGCTGAACCACAAGCATCTACTCCACCATACCTCATTGCTATATCTTTTGATAAATTTGAACCAGGAAATGAAATCGAAGGTAAATAATCTGGACAACTTTAAATGTTTATCTTTATCTATAAGAATTACCAGTCTTCAACAGAATACCCGCCATTTCCCTCAGCATAACTATTTTTTTTTTCATTCCTGTATGTCTATACCTGAAATAGATAGAATTTTCCTCTTTTTTAGAGTTTTTTCTTTTTTTTCTTAATGTGCTTTCTGTATATGTATAAAATACATTGAAAACATACTTTCAATTGTATACTTTCAGTTTTGAAATTTATATAAATTCTGTTAATTAAAAATCATTTTTTTCAATATTAAAATAACATATTTTCCTTTTTTGCATCTAGCGAATATGACTTAAGTTCATGCTTTAACTTTTGTGACAGAATCAAAATTAATGAGACAACTGGTCAAACCGGACTGCATTTGTTGCTCTTTAATTTCTTATTTTCTTTATATCTGGTCTCTGCAATACAAAGAGATCCCGTTTATTAGTCATATGCTATCATCTTACAGGAAACTAAAAATTCAGGATGCAGTCTATGATGACTCAGAGTGGGATATTGTGAGTCATGCTTCCAAGAGCAGCATCCCAGATTTTATCAGATTGCAAGAGGTGGAGTTACTGTGGTTTAAACTACTTTTTTATCTTGCTAATCCTGAATTTCTCTCAATGGAAAACCTTAGTTCTCCGAGCAGTCTCCATAGCATATTTCCTTGGTAGCTGGACTCCTTCAGTAACTTGTGTTTTTCTTCTCTAGTTTTTTTGATAGAACAAGCATGGGACTAGAAGTGAGTTATAATCTGTCAGATTCCCCCTACTATATCTCAGTAGCTCAAAAAGGGCATTAATCACTAAATACCTCCTGTCCAGTTGTTCTCTTTCACCTGAGCCAGTAGTTTCATTTGCTTCCTTGGAAGGTGATATGTATGGAAAAGAATGGGGAAACACTAGAGCAGATTGTAGCTGCTGTTCTTGGAAAAACACGTCTGGAAACTCCTTCACGCATAGAAGGGCTGTCAGATTGCTGTACTGATAGGCATTTAAAAAGCAGTATTGTCAGCAGAATGATGAGTGGATTTAAATATACAGAGACTGATTCTGCCAGGCTGTACAGAGTTTACAGTGACAGAAACCTTGATCCTCAGATGTTTTTAACATTGCCTTTTATTATCTTCGTATCTAACCATGCTTTTCTTTCTCTAGCTCCCCTTTTCTTTTGCTATAAATTACCAGGATCCGGTACCCATTTTCAGGGAGCTGTCTTTCCATGTAACATATTCTTATATTCACTTGTGACACACCACCTGCCATCACTCTTACTGTCACATCTGTGCTGGCTTTAATTCTGTGTTTCAATGGCAGATGTCCTCCTTTCTGTGAGATCCTTCTGAGAGACCTGAGAGAAATTAGTTAACCAAGACTGAAGATTGATGACAAATTGAAAGGCTGAATGTGCAGGTGTTCTTACATTGTCAAGGCATAGTTGCTCACTGCCTTGACTTTTTTGTCATTTCTGGTTTATTTTCTTCTTTATCTGCTCATCTTCATTTTTAGTGACCGCACATATTTTTGGGCAGAAACCATTATTCTAACTGTATTTGCAGAAGTTACCTAATACTGGCACTACCTGAGCAAATTTATGACAGATTATAACAATTTTGATTATGCCTCTTTAATTTCAGTTTGGCTATACACAAAAGTGTGCTCTTCCGTATTTTTCTGGACTCCTTCAGTAACACATTTTGAGTAAATTGGAGTCGATCACTATTGATTCTTTTATATTTAATAGCTGTGAGGGAGACTGTGATGGAGAAACTGCTTTCTTTACCCTGTTGTAACACCTCAAAGATAAAAAGGTTCTGATGTTCAAATTTAGCCCAAAGTTGAGCCCTTCTTTAGAAACCGAGGTAGAAAAAGAAGTAATACTCTCTCACATAGCTATTTTGGCTTTGAAAGCCTAATTAAACAGAAAGAATAGATAAGCTTTTAGTCACTATAGCCCATAGGCAGCATTCTGAGCATGCATAGTGTAGCAAATGAGGTTTATAAAAATGTTCAAGTAATGTGGTAGAGCATAATTACTTCTAAAGCTGTCAGTGAAATATTATATTTAATTTACAAATAGATATTGTTACCTACAGATACCTCTCCAAGCTTTTTTATTTTCCTTATTGTCATTTTTTATTATTATTTATTAGAACTGCAATACCACACAACATTTTTTCCAAAGGTTTTAAGTCATTTCTGTACATGTAATCCTATGTTTTGGAAGTGTATTTTTAAATATTTAAGTGTTTCCAACTTTACATTTTCCAAATTGTCTGTTTTCACAGTGACTTTGGAAGCCCTTAAGGAGGCTAGCTTTAAAGGATTTCATCTACAAGCTCGAGAAGTGGAAGGGGATGTTCCTGTTGGTACTTTTAAAATTACAGATCCAAACACAAAAGGCTTGGATTGTCATAACGTGACGGTACATGTTGACTCTTCGTAGTACTTACTAAAGCTTGGATTTCTTTTAAATATGTTAATAAATATTGATAAAAACTGTTCATTTGCTATTGCAAAATTTCATCAACAAAGCTAAAAATTTTGTCCTTCTCAAGTAATACATGTACCTTTTGCATGAGATATAAATCTAACATGTGCAGGCCACCTTGCACATTTTACAAAGATATCACTTAACCCACTGTAGCACCATTTACCTAATAATACAGGCAAGTACGTACACAAAAATAATTTTCTTGTCTAATATAATTACAATTATTTCTTTTTATTTTTAGAATTCAGCAGTAAGTCATGCAAATTCAGATCTGAAACAAAAAATTACGACAACATGGATCGCACCACATGATACAAGAGAACTTCAATTTATGTAAATAATTGTTTTCATTTTTTGCCTTGAAAATTTATTTATTTTGGAAATACTATCATGATTTTATTTTAAATAAGTTAATTTTTTGTTATTAAAACAACTTCTGATGTTTTCATGTTGCCACAGTCATATTTTGTTTCACAATTTGGCATACCTTCAAATGTATTCATGAAATAACATGAATTTCAAAATATATTCCATTCGACATATAGATTTCAGGTCAACCCAGCCCTATAGACTGTCATATATTTAAATAATTATTTTTTTCTCTAGTGCAACTGTTGTTCAAGATCTAGAAAAATTTTGGGTCGGGGTTCAAAGTAAAACTGTCACACCTGCAGTTTCCAAGTCAGTGAATGGGACAGGAAAAAGCAAGAGGAAGGTATGGTATGAGTATATTTACCCATTATAAATTAATACAATAAATAACTAAAATTATGATTTGATATGAAGTATACTTTCATTGTCAAGTACTCATTACAAAGCTTAACAAAGATATGAGACATTTTTGATAATTTAATATAACAGTCTAACATTTTTCTTCCCCTGAAGAAATAAGAAAAGTAATAATCTAATTAGCAAAACAGTTTGCAGATGAAAGAAAAAAGAAAATCAGGATAATGAAGACACTACTGTGCTTCAGCTATACTTTGCTGTTTTCCCAATCACTGTAAACTGTAGTAAAACAAGATTTGCTTAGGAATGAAAATACAACCCATTTTTGCTAAGAATTCCTAATATTAAGCAGCTTAAGATAGGCAGATAAAGAAAAGAAAGTCCATTTAAATCTACAGTATTTGTTCTTCAATGGGCCAACAGGCCCAATATGTCAATTAGTGATGTAACTCAGAATTAATATTTTTCTCTTGTCCCTCACTTCCCCACATGTTCCCTGTTTCCCATATAAACAATTAAACTGATGCAAGCTTTTTATAGAGTAAATAGTTTATAATTGCTTCCTCTATTGTTTTCACAGATTATGATAGAAGTAGAATGTATGAAGGTAAGACTCATGTATCTACAATTTCCCATGTTTAAATTACCTCATTTTTAGATTTCCTGCCCAACTAATGCAGTTGTTCCATGGTTATAGTATGAAGTTCTTATCTTTTCATTCAGATTCTTTTCCATTTTTTCCATTTATGCTTACATTCAAAATTGAATCTAAAAATGTATTTTTTAAAGAGGTGCATCAGTTCTGAGACCAGATTACTACAAAGTGATATACAAATATTATAAGCAATCCTATAGTGGATTTCTTCATTCACACAATAAATGCAATTTCAGTTTATTTTTTTTATTTATAATAATTTGATATTTATACAAGCAATCTATAAACAGTAACTAGAATCTATCTTTCTTTCAGCGTGGAGGGACTTATACACCACAAGGAGGATGTGTCCTGGTAAGTATTCCTCTGTAAAGATACAGGTTTGCATGTTTCATATATTATAAATTTTACTAGTTGCCCCAAATGTCAAAATCTAGTCAAAAGCTGCTTCTACTCGCATCCTGTTGCTCAATTTATTTTTCTTTTTGACAGTTTATATCTCAGTGAATAAAATCCCCAAATTTTCTAAATGGTTTTCAGTCAGGTTATCATTTCCTCTGGCAGCATATCTCTAGAAAAACTAGAGTAATTTTTAATACCAAATTTCTTTTGTCTGTCTTCACTTTTTATCCATACTGCTTGCTTACAGAATTTTTCAACACTTATTTCAACATCTCTGAAACATAGCCTTTTGATCTCTATATAAAACTTAGCTATTTGAATTTTTCCTAAAAAATGTTTTCAGCTCAATGAAAACGCCTCTCTCTCTTTTTTCCCCTTCTGTTCAGCAATTATACCCTACATTTCCAAATCTCTAGAGTTTATATACTCACTAAAGACTCTATTTTTCATCTGATTTTGGCTTAATTTGGCTCTGCTTAGTGATCTTGAAGTCACTAGCATAGACATGTTGCTCAGTTTTGGACATTAAGTGTATAAAGCCAGATGTTCAGCCAGGATGATGCGGTATAGTTCTGCAAGCAGCAGAATTATACTAACTTATACCAGCCAGAGCAGTTGGTAAAGTTATGATTATTTTGTTTTAATTTCTTTTAGCAATTACAGTAGTATCAGTTGGTGGAATGAAAAGACAGAAAACTACTTGTGTCTTCTTCTGTTTTCCCACCCAGTATGTCTTTCTATCCTGAAATTTATATAAAAATCACTTTTCTGGAAAACAATAGCTTTCTGATTTCTGTACAGGTTGCGCCCTCTGGATCTTCTCAGAACACCTATAAAAGTAGTCAGGTGAGAATACTAACTTCCAACAATGGTAAATTTTCCTTAGTAAACTTAAACAACTAAAATTCTATAGATACGGAGTATTGAAGTGATTTAACACAGTACTGAAATAATATCTCTGTCAGTTAATGCAGAATGAGTTATTCATCTGCCAAATGGGCTATTAAGTACCTGGAAGAGTTTCAACTACCTGCACTGTGTTGAACTCAATGGCTTGCTCTCAGTATACTTAATGTGATGTGTCACCTCCCCTGTTTTCAAGCATTAAACATTTTATCAAGTATTAAACTGACCTTTTTGAGGAAAAGAAAAGATTTTGTCCATCTTCCCAGAAGATTCCTACCTGTTTGTGAATATATGCATCAAAACACAGACTCAGTGATCCGTTTTGTAGTTTAGAGAACATTTTTCATAACTAAGATGAATCTATACTTATTAATAATTTATTTTAATGTGTTTTTCTTATTTCATTTGTTTGGATAATCAAAATGAAAGGACTCATTTTGCCAGTTTCAGTATCTTCTTAACAAATATTTCAAAAGTTTTTCAGAATTTTATCAAATTCATGAATATATACATATATATATGTATGTATGTATATGTAGAGAGAAAAAATTGAGTGTGTGTGTGTAAAACTTCAGTATGTTTTCTACTTTACTATTATTAGCACTGGATTATTTCCATAGTTGAATATTTGATGATTTCATTGTCTAGGTAGCCTTTGAATACTTCTTGAGTATGTCTGCACTCCTATAACCACTTGCAATTCTTTAATCACAAAAAAGTATACTTGGCTTGGAATGATTATTTTTAATTAATTCTTTTCACTACCATAATGTGTCTGTTTTCACTTTAACTCTCAGATAGTTGCTGATGTGTTTCTAGTTTCTGGAAATAATCTTCTCCTATTATGTATTACTAAAGTATATATTAATATATCAATATAATATCTAATACCTGTTACTACTTACTAGTCCGTATATTTATTAGTGAATTATTTGGTAATATTCCACTTGTTTCATACAGACTATTTCTAAGTAAAATTACCAGGCTTTGATAAATATCAATTATATTGATGTATAAACTATTCACTGATTTTCCTTCATCATGTTTCTTTCATACAGTATATGTATTTCTTTCATATGTAATATATATTCTTTTCTGAGGGTTGAGTATATCATTTTGTCATATAACTACTTTAACTAGTGTTTTTTTTCTAAAATATGGACCATTTAGTACACAACTCATGATTTTTGAAAGACTACATAACTAAGGGCGAAGTGAAATGAAATGATGACATTAGATGACTAACGTTGCCTTCTAAAATGAAATTGATCAACCCAGTGTTTAGCAATCTCTGTTTTCCTCTCCCTTTTCCTTTTTATTTTATTTTCTTGTCCTTTTCAATGTAAATAATTGATTCCTTTTCTGTTTTAGGGTGGAGTAGTCTATTCAATAAGCAAGAGTGGATGTGCCCCAGTAAGCACTTTTCTCACATTTCCTTTTTAAACACTCAATACAGCTGTTTTTATAATAATTTTCAACCTTCAAATATATTACTTATGCAAGTATTCAACTGGGAAATTGTTTTAAATTGAAAACTGTGGAGAGAGAGGTAGGAGAAGATGAATGTGAAAGATTATTCGATGAGTTGAAGCAGTTGGTAAACAAGCATATTAGAAGTATGTAGAATCATGAGCCTAGAGCTGGAAATGTCATCTCTCACAGCCATTTATAGTAAAGAAATAACTGGTTTCTTTTTCTTCTTAGGGAGGTGCGGTTGATGCATACGGAAGACAAGCCTGCCTAGATGTAAGCTCTTGGTTTATATATTCAGTTATTGATTATCTACTAAGAGAGAGATAGAAACCCTAAACTGGGCTCTAGGCAATATGTAGACTTAGGGTTAGTGTTAGGGTTAAGAGAGAGAGAGAAGGCCTAGAGCATAATGGGGCTAGAAAGGGCAGGCCAAAGGAATTGTAGCACCAGTCTGGTGCTAGGAGTTCCTTTGCTCTTTGGCCGGGGGAAGGTTATGCCTAGGCCTGGGGCTAGCATTAGGCCTCAGGTTAGGGTTAAGAGAGATAGAAAGCCCAGTTTCACTATGGAATTATTTGTGTGCAATTGAAATCAGAATTCGACCAGAAGTGTGCATCTTATGGCTAAAAGTGCTGACTTCTGGATATGATTAATTCATCTTTTTATATATGTATTTTTAACAAATCATTATATGAAGTAAGAGTTTATTTACCATTTGCTTTCAGAGTGGATCCTCATATAGCTCTGGGCTTACCTATGGTCAGGTAAGTATAGGTTTGCAAGCATGCTTTTAGTTTGACCTTATTCAACTGATCAAAAACTAAGCTGGTACACCAGACTTTTACGTCACTCTAACAAATTCATGGGAGGGAGTATGGGAGGACTGTCTTCAAATGATTCGCTAATAAACACATCTGAAATGAATTTAAAGGTGATGCTTTGTAAAACTAAGAGGATAACTGAGATTGTGAAACCAACTGATATATGCCTCTTTCTAGTGGACATATTTATTTTTGTTGTTCATTTATTAATTGTATACATTAATGTTTTACCTCAGAATGTTAACTTCATTTGGTACTCTGAGAGATATTGTTAGCTATATCACTCTCACGGAAAGTAGTGCTGTAGTTAATTTGTCAGACATATTCTCAAGAAAAAAATGATTCCTGTATTCTTTGCAGTCTGTCCCTGCAAGTGGCTCAGATTCCAGTAAGAAGGTAAATACTTATTTTCCTTTTAATTCTAAGAAAAAAAAAGAACTTAAAGATGTAACTTGGCATAATTTCTTTTATTTCGGTGATACTATAGTTCTTTTTTACCAGCTAAGACTTTTCAAAGTTTTAATTCATTTAATTTGAATAGGTTTAATTATTAGATGAATTATACTATGCTGTGCTCACATATGCTGATAGTTGAATTCACTGTACATAAAAATGATTACATGTTTTGTCACACATGTCTATGGGATTTTTTTTTCAAGATACTGAAATCGTAATTAGGACTTTAAAAAATATAAATCACTTAATGATTTATTAATATGGC